TTATGTTTTTTAATTAGTTTTTATAATTAAAAATATCTCAATTCAAAACAAATAAACTGTATTACCGAAGGTCAAGTGTCAAATTTAAGAGATTAATGCATTTTGCTAAAGCAGAACCTAAGCCTGATGCACCTTCATCACCAATTTTATTCAAACTTTTGAAATATTAAAGAAAAGATATATCATTAAATAGTTAATTAGAAGGAAAAAATTATTAAAAAATATGAAATAATAAGATTAATTAATTAATAATAAAAGCAAAAGTTGAAAATAAAATGATGAGTTTTTAAATTAACCCTTTCGACTGGGGGAGTTTTTCACCTTTAAAATAAAGAAACCAAAATTATTAATTATTATATATAAACACAGAATTTTATATAATTCATAAACATTCAAAAGTTAGCTCCCCCGATTCTAAGGTGTTAACAAAGAATTAAAAATATCACAATCCAAAACAAATAAACTGTTTTTACCTAAGGTCAAGTGTCAAATTTGAGAGATTAATGCATTTTGCTAAAACAGAACCTAATCCTGATGCACCCATTGCACCAATTTTATTCCAACTTTTTAAATATTGAAGAAAAGATATATCATTAAATAGTTAATTAGAAGGAAAAAATTATTAAAAAATATGAAATATTAAGATTAGTTAATTAAAAATAAAAGCAAAAGTTGAAAATAAAATGATGAATTTTTAAATAAATAAAGAAAAAACAAAAAAAAGCAAGCACAATACAAAGAAAAAGAAAAAAGAGCTTTATTATTTTTAATTAATTTTTATAATTAAAAATATCACAATCCAAAACAAATAAACTGTTTTTACCGAAGTTAAAGTGTAAAATTTGAGAGATTAATGCATTTTGCTAAACCAGAACCTAAGCCTGATGCACATTCATCACCAATTTCATTGCTACTTTTGAAATATTGAAGAAAAGATATATCATTAAATAGTTAATTAGAAGGAAAAAATTATTAAAAAATATGAAATATTAAGATTAGTTAATTAAAAATTAAAGCAAAAGTTGAAAATAAAATGATGAATTTTTAAATTAACAAAGAAAAAACAAAAAAAAGCAAGCACAATAAAAAGAAAAAGAAAAAAGAGCTTTATTGTTTTTAATTAGTTTTTATAATTAAAAATATCACAATCCAAAACAAATAAACTGTTTTTACCTAAGGTTAAGTGTCAAATTTGAGAGATTAATGCATTTTGCTAAAGCAGAACCTAAGCCTGATGCACCCATTACACCAATTTCATTGCTACTTTTGAAATATTGAAGAAAAGATATATCATTAAATAGTTAATTAGAAGGAAAAAATTATTAAAAAATATGAAATATTTAGATTAGTTAATTAAAAATAAAAGCAAAAGTTGAAAATAAAATGATGAATTTTTAAATTAACAAAGAAAAAACAAAAAAAAGCAAGCACAATAAAAAGAAAAAGAAAAAAGAGCTTTATTGTTTTTAATTAGTTTTTATAATTAAAAATATCACAATCCAAAACAAATAAACTGTTTTTACCAAAGGTCAAGTGTCAAATTTGAGAGATTAATGCATTTTGCTAAAGCAGAACCTAAGCCTGATGCACCTTCATCACCAATTTTATTCAAACTTTTGAAATATTAAAGAAAAGATATATCATTAAATAGTTATTTAGAAGGAAAAAATTATTAAAAAATATGAAATATTAAGATCAGTTAATTAAAAATAAAAGCAAAAGTTGAAAATAAAATGATGAATTTTTAAATTAACAAAGAAAAAACAAAAAAAAGCAAGCACAATAAAAAGAAAAAGAAAAAAGAGCTTTATTGTTTTTAATTAGTTTTTATAATTAAAAATATCACAATCCAAAACAAATAAAATGTTTTTACCGAAAGTTAAAGTGTAA